CCGCGGGCAGGGGCTGGTCGGGCTGCCGCCATGGCCGGGGGCCAGGACCTGTTTGACGCTATCGTGATGGCGGACAACAGGTGGGTCCCCGTCCTATCGGGTCCGCTCTCAGCTACTGGGGTGCAGTGGCCGCTCGGGCCTGGTGTCCCGCGGGCGTGGGCCTCGGAGGAGCGCTCTGTGGCCCTAGAAGCAGCGGACACGTGTGGGGCCGAGCTACTGTCGATTCTCCTTTACTCCTCGGCCGCTGGGGCGGGGCGGGCCCCACGTGCCCAGCTGCTCCTTCAAACCCGCCTCTGCGTGCGGGGCTGCCTCAGGCATCTGCTCGGTCTGTTGACTGCCTTCCTCCAGGAACGCCCCGTCCGCGGCTGGGACAGACCTCTGCCATCTGGGCACTGCCCCCTTCTCTTGTTCCTCCGTGGTAGGACATAAGGCAGCATTCATGGACGTGCTGATGAATGTGTCAGACGTCATCCCTGGCCCTCCAGAGCCTCCGGGGGCGCCTGGGGCTGTGACGAGGGGAGCTGTGAATTGCTTTGTGCCTCTGAGACGGCAATAGATGTCAATCAGTCGCTGCTGACTTTTATTTCGAGCTTATTGTGAATCCGACACTGACTGGAGCGTTGCAAACCCCCGCCCCGTTATCTGTTTTAGCAGATTCTGTTATTCGCCCCGTCTTACAGATGAGGCAGGGTCGCTGTCCAGGGTCACACCACCCAAACAGGCCAGACCTACATACCCTGCCTCATTAGGGGCTCCGACAAGCACCTTTCCTCTTTGGTGACTGGGGGTTAAAGGGTGCCATTTCTGCTGTTGAGCCCTCAGAGTCAGAGCTGGTATTATACCCCAGGCCCCAGGGGCGCTTGGTGGCGACCCAGTGGCATTTTCCTCTGCCAGTCTACTCCGATGTGATGGGAAAGCCTGTGTATTTCTCAGAGTTCTTTGAAACGGTTGGCTGAGTGTGTATCTTTCAGACTCAGAGGACTTGGGCTGCAGACCAGCGTCACCTAGGAGGTGTCGGAAAGCAGATTCCCAAGTCGTACCGCAGACTCAGTGAATATTGGGGCGAGGCTCTTGCATTGGCATCTTTGGAGTTTCCCTGCGTGTGCCCGGTGTTCCGCCAGGCGTGGGACTCACTGACGAGGCCACGCTCCCCATCGCAGAAGGGGCCAGTTGGGCTTCAGGAGGTCCCGTGACTTGCCAGAGGACAGACGTAGGAAGGGGTACAGCGGGGATTGGAAGCCAAGCCTTCTGACTTAAAGTCTGCACTTTATCTACTATTCTCTGCGTTGTCTTGCTGGGTCTGGGCATTATGGGAGAGAAGTGTTTCCAGGAAAAATGCCCTCCCTCCTGTTTGCTCAAACCCGCTTCTCCTCTGTCGCAGGTTCCACGGGGAAGGGTACCAGGAAGGCTATGAAGAAGGCAGTAGTTTGGGCATCATAGAGGGAAGACAGCATGGCACAGTGTACGGAGCAAAAATTGGGTCTGAGGTAAGTGGCCGTCCCCACGCAGCCCTGGATCCTGCTCAAGGACCGTTGAGAGCTTACTTTGAGGGTCAGTCTGATCGAGCCAGCACTTCAGGCCTCTCACCATGGCCCTGACTAGGCAGGATGTTGGTGGAGAAATATTCTTAGCACAGAACCGGCAGCACGTATTGCGGATGGAGATAATGCGGTGTGCGTGCGGCTGGGGAGTGAGAAGAGCAGTCCGCAGCCACCTCCGTGGCCGGCGAGGGTCACGGTGCCACCTCGTGTCTTTAGCCACCTGAGTCCTCACTCAGAACAACTGCTCTGTGTCATGTGGGAACACTGCATTTTCATTGAGGTGGAAACTCCATGGTTTTCCTTCTCTTGACCCTTCGTCCTCCACTGGCCCTCACAGACATCTGGCCCTGAACGCTAAGTCGAGGCAGCCATGACCGTGAGATAGATATCTGCTGCTGCAGAAAGAGTCAGCACAAAACGTGTGGACTGAGGTCAGCAATCACTGGTTCTCACCAGCTTCTGAGGGTCAGCAGGCCAGGAGCAGCTGAGCTGGGTGCTCATGGCTCGGGGTCTCCTGATGACGGTGTCAGACCAGCCAGGGCTCCACTGGGGCAGGAGGAGCCACTTGTGAGATGGCTCGCACGGCAGCTGTTCTCGCCTGTGGGCCTGTCTGTGGATCTGCTGTAATGTCCTCGTGACACTTGAGTGAGTGAGTGATCCAAAACAGCAAGGTACAGGTGACGTTGTCTGTGTGTCTAGCCTCAGAAGTCGTGTGTGCCCTTTCCTCCAGGTTCTGGTTATACTGGCCACCCTGGTGCAGTCGGAGGGGGTGGGGTCCGTGGGCCCAGCTTGGAGACTGGCCGCCCCACTGATGACTTGACCTAACTCCCCGTCCTGATGCTCGACACCTAATCCCAGAATAGCAATACAAGAAGCACCACTGCCCTCCGCCCCCCACTCGTTTAGAGGGCTTGATCATGAAATCGAGTGTAGCCAGTTGCGTATTAATTTTACTCTTAAATATTTGTGAATTCGCAGATCGGCTGCTACCAAGGTTTTGCGTTTGCTTGGAGATGTCTCCTGCACAGCCGTGCAACTGAGAAAGACAGGTAAGTTCGAGACTCCTTTCCTTTCCAGTGTATGGACCAAGAGTTCTGGTTCCGTAGCTTGCTATGACCTTGGGCACTTAATGTCTCAGTCTTCTCATCTGCAAAATGGAGGAAATAATCAGGCCGAACTTGAATGTTGTTGTGAAATTAATAGGAAATAGTATGGTAATTCTCCTTTATCTGCAGTTTCAGCCATCTGTAGTCTGAAAATATTAAATGGAAAGTCCCAGAAATAAACAGCTCGCAAGTTTTAAATTGTGCGCCATGGTGAGTGGTGTGATGAAACCTCATGCCGTCCTGCTCTGTTCCACCCGGGACACAGATGGTCCCCGTGTCCAGCGAATCCACGCTGCAGACACTGCCGGCGGGCTAGTCACGTAGTAGCCGCCTCGGCGATCAGATCGACTGTCCTGACATCGCAGTGCTTGTGTCAGGCCCCCCTTACTTTACTTCATCGTGGCCCCAAAGTGCAAGAGTGGTGGTGCCGGCAATCACGATGCGCCATGGAGAAGCCATAAGTGTGTTCTTTAAGTGAAGAGGTGTGTGTGTGTGTGTGTGTGTGTGTGTGTAGGAAGAACCAATATACGTAGCATCGAGTACTATCCATGGTTTCAGGCGTCCACTGGGGGTCTTGGACTGTATCCCCGAGGTAAGGGGAGATTACCGTAATAGACAGTCCTGGGCACATTTTCAGTGTCTGATGAATACCAGTTGTTACTACTTCTCAGGAGTTCTCATGTCCCTGGCCTTCGGATACCCTGCCAGTAAAATAATGTTGAAGTTGATTATATCCTCTCCCTCACCTGTACCTGAATGTCTAACAAAGTACAGTAGTCACGGTACGACTAGGGCTCGGAAATGGTGGCTTCACTGTCACCAGTTTTTTAACGTAGCCAACCAGATCCAATGAGATAGGCGTTCAGTGTGTGTAACAGGCATCTGCACTTGGAAGCACCATGCTGTTGGCTGTCACAGGCATTTTAAACTGTTCTCACGGTGTGACCCATAGCATCTGTCTTCATTCCGATACCTGGCGGCCTTGCCTGGCCTGGGAGGGGCGTGCGGAGAGTGGGTGACAGCGCAGGGAAGGTGGCATTCCCGTCTCCGTGACTCGTCATATGTGAGATATTTTGAGTTTCTGGAGCTTGGCCCCCCCTGTATTCGGATGTAAGAACAGGATGCTTTCGGCTGAGTGGTTGGTTCTAAGTTGCTTGCCTTCTGGCTTGTCTGCTCACCAGCCATCCATTTGCATGGAGAGCTGGAAACTGACCAGGTTCTGGCGCCTCTGCAGGGATTTTCCCCTGAGGAGTCAGCGGGAGCGCAGGGTGGCTGGTGATCTGGTTGGAACAGTGGCTGGCAGCCTCGGGCACCACTGGGTGGCAGTCACAGCTGAGCTTGGCTCTCCACTCCGATCCATGAAGGGACGAGGGGAGGTGCGTTCCTGGAGTTCTCCACGAGTCTCCCCAGTGCCAGGTCTGCTGGCGGGTGGAGGCATGTTGCCCTGGACCCACACCCAGGGCTCCAATCTTTGCCTAGTCTGTCAGAGAGCAGGAACCGCAGCTTTGGCACCGGCAGGCGGATGTCCGAAGCCCACCCTGCGGCCGCCCCCACCCTGCCAGCAGTGCCTGAGGGTCTCAGAAGCATAACCTAGAGGCCTCTGTTTCAGTGCCCTGGCCGGGGGAATTGCTGGTGGAACGGCCGGCAGCTTTTGGCTCTTGTAGGTCAGTACAATTTTGAAAAAATGGTAGAAAGCTGATAGAGGATCTTCTGCTTCTTTATGTCCCAAATGAGGGCACTGAGAGAGAAACACCTGCGTCTGCATCAGCACGCAGTGGAACTGAGCTCTTCACAACAGAGGAGCCACGGATGGCAGTACATGTATCTCAGACTGAGGATGGTGCTTTACGCCTGGTGGCCGTAGCTCTTCCATAAACTTGGAGCTGCTGCTTTGCCCCTGTGAGCAGCCTGGTGAAGCCTCACACAGACCGACGCTGGGCCGAGGCTGAGCGGGGCAGCTGTGAGCGGTCCACGCCCTCCTGGCACACACTGACGTTGCTGGGTGTGTTCGGAGCAGTGTCACTGACCAGGGAAGAATAAGTTGCTGCTTGCAAAGTTGGAAATGGTGGTGTTCTTCATATCATGTTCGAATACGACTGTTTCCCACATGCTGGCCTCTGCCTGCGATCTCCCTGGAAACCAAGTGCTTTGTTGCTTTAATTAACTTGCTTTGACCTTTCACCGTGCTGCACTTTCTCAGAGAGGTGGCCACCATGGTCCTGGTCCAGAGATTTGCTTGGCAGACTCCCTCACGCCTGTATCTAAAGCCAGCAATGCAGCAGGCATGCAGGCGGTCTTGGTTGCTTCGAATTGCTGTTGATTCACCTCCAGGATAAATTCTTTGAAATTCCCATTAATCAAATACTAGCATACTCTTGACACGCAGATGCTCAGATGTGGTCCAGGGGTGGTGCCCGTCAGGATCCCTTGTGGCACGTTACCCAGATGCGCACACTTATGGCTGTTTTCACCCTGAGCTTCCCCAGGTGGGGCCCCGGCCTCCAGGGTCTGGTGGAAGCGAGGACACTAAACTTATTGAGCACCTACTCTGTACTAGGTTCTGCATTTTCCGTAGATTATCTGTGGCCTCGAAAGCCGGTAGGGTCACTGTGAACGCCCCGTTTTACCGATGAGGACGCTGAGGCTCAGGGTTAAGTAACTGAGCTCCTTGGAGCGGTCGCTCAGGGCTGCTCTTCCTGCAGACCCACCCGCCGCCCAGAGCTCTGTCTTCCTGGGAACGGGAGCTGGACTCACACACCAGACACCGCGCCTGCCCTTTGCAGGGAGCGGCTTGCTGGTTCACCTGCCACTGAACTCTGGGAGCGAGGTGTCTAGGTCCCAGAAACCCCCCAGGTCCAGAGCAGGCTCCATCGTGCCGGCGCTCTGTCCTGCCTGGTTTGATCTGTCCACGTCTCTGACCTCAGGAAGCAGCGGTCGGGTGCTTGTTGGGGGCTGTCCCAGTCCCCCGGCTCCACGCCTGGGATGGAGGCATATCTGTCTGCTCAGTGCACTTGATGTGGAGGCGTGGGAGTGGGCAAGAGCACGTTGCTAGGTAAACAAATATTGTTTAGTGTAATAAGAAAATGAATCATCCGCCGAAACCGGTTTGGCTCAGTGGATAGAGCGTCGGCCTGCGGACTGAAAGGTCCCAGGTTCGATTCCGGTCAGGGGCATGTACCTGGGTTGTGGGCACATCCCCAGTAGGAGATGTGCAGGAGGCAGCTGATCGATGTTTCTCTCTCATCGATGTTTCTAACTCTCTGTCTCTCTCTCTTCCTCTCTGTAAAAAATCAATAAAATATATTTAAAAAAAAAAGAAAATGAATCATCCAGCTTCTGAACTCGGCCCATTAGCATGCCTGTTACTTTTAAGTGAGTGATGGCCGTAGGTGTTACACAATCTGAGCCTGTTGTGTACAAAGGACTAAAAGTCTTTATCTCTGTACTTTACAGCAGAAAGATGAAGGTCTTAGAATCCTTGATCAGCATGATTCAGAAGTTCCCTTACGGTGACCCTACTTATGCCAACCTTCACGAAGACTTAGACAGAATTAGATGTAAATTTAAACAGGTTTGTCCACCGTGTGTTTCTTTGGGGCAGGAGCGGCGCAGGCCCTGGGGGCTGTTTGGACCGATGAGGGGTCGGTGTGGACTTGCGTGAGGGCCCGTGACGGGGACAGAAGTTGCAGCTAGCGGTAGTCATGCTCCAATTGTGAGTCAAAATACACAAGATTATAAAATCCCTCTCTTCTCTTTTGTGTTTTCAGCTTTGTTCATTACTAAACGTTCAGCCGGACTTTAAAATCAGTGCGGAAGGTTCTGGACTTTCATTTTGAGGATGACAGATGAACAAAGATGAAACACGAAGGAACAGATGTCCGTATGCTAAGTGCTTAAAACTGTGATGAAAGGAAAACAATGATGGGGCATTCATTGTTCTCGAGGGAGGGTTCCTCCCTGAACCTGCCTGTGTCGCCTCGGTGCCCCCACAGCCTGCACAGGCCTGAGCCCGTCTGCCCTGTAGTCTGAGCGAGGCCCTGGTGGAGCCCTCCTGTCTGCCTGGAGTTGGCTGGCCTCACTGGTCCTGCCCGGCGGGCGGGCCCTGCTGCTTCTAGACCCAGCGGCTTCCCCAGGCTGGACTCGGTGCTCAGGAACCGTTTTACAGAAACGAGAGCCTCGGGTTGCCATGTAGTAAGTGCATGGGAAGTGGTGACGTGTGCGGTAACATTTACTGAACCTTGGGCCAGGCCAGCACTGTGTGGCGTGCCTCCCTAATGCATTTGGTCCCTTCTTTAGCCCGCCAGGTGGGTCATTCCCGTTTTCCAGGTGAGGGGGCTGAGACCTGTGGCGCCGGCCGAGAGGAGAGGCCAGCGGGACTTCGGAGCCGGACGTGCTGGGTGTTGCAGGTGGGGCGGGGCTTTGCAGCATTAAAAGTGGTTAAGGGGGAGCGTGTTAAACTGGAGACGAAATGATGGGCTACGCTGTGTGGAAGACTCTGAGGTCCTTTGGGTCGGAGTCCTCCTGTTTGTCTCACATAGAGGTTATCCTGCACAGGGAGAGGCCCGGGCCAGGCCTCCCTGAGCTGAATGGTTCTCCACGTTTCTCTGCTTCGTCCCCCCCCCCCCCCCCCCACATGCCCAGGCAGATGACATGCCATTCCCATCTGCTCCTGTTGGAGGGAGTACCTCTGAAGCTGGGAGTACGGTGAATAAAAAGGTGACCAGGAGTCTGCTCCAGTCTTGCAGTCCATCCACAACGTCTTGTGAACTCTATCCTGGGTGTGGGGACCGGGGGCCGGGAGTCCCTGCGGGGCTGACAGGCATTTTCTTCCCACTTCGTGCCCTTGCCGAGTGCTGGGAGAGAGGGGGGCGGGGAGGGGGAGGCAGACCTGCAGTGCTGCCCTGGCACTGCCTTCTGCTGGTCCTTGGGGCGCACACCCCACCCGGGCTCTCCAGGTGGTGGGCGTCAGGGTTTCTGCCGCTTTCCTTGGTGGATTTTGTGTCTTCTGTTATCTGCTTTTATAATGTATTATTTTTACAATTGGAGGAAAAAAAATAAACAGTGTATTTTAAAGCAAAAGGCCGTCTGGGACTATTTATAACTCGACATCCAGCCAGTACTTCCTGGGGTACTGGGGTCTAGGTACAGAGGAAGGCGCAGCGGGTCAGCCCGTGCAGTGTTCTGTCCACCTGTTTCATCGGCACATGTAGAAACTGTTACTGGGAAAGAATGGTGCCCATGATGCTCAGGCAAGGGTCAGTTCCCCCGGCACCCCGTGACCCCGCCCCGGCCGCCTGTCAGCAGTTACTGGTCCCTCCTGCCCACGTCCCTCCTCCCCCTCCCCCTCAAGCTCAGCCTCTCCCACCCAGGTGTTAGTGTGAGTGTGGGCAGCCACTTCCGATCTGTTCCCATCACATGGGGCTGAGCTGCCTCAGTGATCCTCAGGGTCTCCAGACACTGAACTTGACTGTGCCTGCCTAGCCCCTTCTTGGAGAGCTAGACCGAGGTTCTAGGAACCCTTGTCGCCGGTCAGGGGTAAGCACGCCGCTCTTCTGGCCTCTCGTGTCCTGTGATCAGTCATACCAGCTCCGTGACTCAGTCCCCCGGGTCGCAGACCAGTTCCTCTCTTCATTCATTAAGGACCTGAATGACTGGAAATTGGGAGGTCCTGGCCTGTTAATCATAGTTTTTGGTATCTCTAAATTACAGTGGTGTTCTCAGGGTCGTGTTGAGGTCACATGAAAACTCACAAAGCGAGTTGTGCGATGGTCACCTCCTCCAGGAAGCCGTCCCTGCCCTCTTCCCACTCTCTCATTCCCCAGCTCCGTGAAGACAGACACACAGGGGAAAGATGGCCACGAGGACATGGAGGCCATGATCAGAGCAATGAGCTAGCCAAGGACTGGGGGTGGGGAGTGCCTGCAGCCGCCAGGAGCTGGGAGGGAGCAGGGACCCGACACCTTGATTTCAGACGACCACCCTCGAGAACTGTGAGAGAACTGCTGCTGTTTTAAGCCACCCAGTTTGTGGTCATTGGTTGCGGCAGCCCCAGGACACGGACAAGGTCCCTTTCTGTGTCTGGGCTGCAGTGTGCGCTGGCGTTGGGTGGAGTCAGACGCAGGCTTCGTGCGTTTTCAAGCCCACTGTTGAAGGCCGCGCCCTTTCTTCTCCGAGGCAGCCCAGGGTGGACAGGAGTGCAGGCTCCCGAGACTGCCCTGGCCCCGGACGCATTCCCGGCTGTGTGACCCTGGCTCGGTGACTTCGCCTCTCCTCTACCACAGGGACCAGAAAGCCAACCCCCTCAGCCCATACTCAGCCTGCTGCCCGTTTGGCGGAGAAGGCTCGCCTGGCCGCAGCCATACTCATTCGTTTGCCATGGCCTGCGGTGCTCTGCTCAGCGGCTGAGGTTGGACAGAGACCTGGTAGCCAGTAAAGCCTATCTGCTGACCCTTGACCCGGAAAAGGGGAGATTTACACCTGTGGGAAGGTGGGCTCCGGAGGGCCCACTCACCGGTGTGCCCCCTGCCTGTCGCCTATCCTGGGAGGGTTGTTTCAAGATTTAGGGAGAAACCTTACGTTGGACACTAACCCGTGCCTGGTGCCCAGTCTGCTCAATGAACGTGAGCAGTTCTCTTCCCGTGATGGCAGCTGGGAAGGGAAACCGGCCCTCACGTGCTTGGACAGCCCGGGCTCCGGGGTGGGGGTCCTGGGGTCAGACCATTGGGCTCTCAGGAGCCTGCGGTGGAGACGTGTCCCAGCTGCCTTAGCTGAGGTAGAAAAGGATTGATGGTCGCTGCTGTCTTTGACAGGTTCAGAGCTGACCGCAGCGACAGTGGAGGGCTGCAGAGTTCTCTTCCCCATCCTCCTCCAGAGTGGAGAGTGGCGGGGACAGTGCCCCCGGATGTGGGCCTTAAGGCCCAAGCCTGGAGCTGCCCGCCCCCCGCCCCCTGGCTATTGTGTGCTGGGCCCTGGTGTGGCTCAGGGCTGGGGGCCAGCGCTGGGACTGTGGGAACGGATTAGAGGCCCTGCTCTGCTTCCCCTCAGTGTAAACCTGATCAAAGACATTCCAGGGATGACAGAGCCCTGTGTGCTCAGCGGCTGCCCGGCCTGTGGGATGCACCCCCACGCAGCAGAGCCCGCTGCTGGGATGGATGGTCTGCAGGATGGGCTCCGAGGGGTGTGGGGGGCTTGGCACTGCAGCCGCCCCCAGGGGCCTCACGGCTGTGATCTCAGCTGGAGCTGCCTGCTCTGGGCCCCACCTCTCCCCTCCATGGCCGCAGCAAGGAACTGTCTGTCCTTATCGCGTAGCCCCGCTATCTATCGCTTAGCCCAGCTGGATCCTGCGGCCTCCTGGTTCTGCTGGGTCCCTGGAGAGTCCCCTGCCCCCACCTCCTCACAAGGCTGGGTCTGTCCTCCACCCCCACCCCCACCCCCGCCAGCTGGGTCAGGCAGGGCCGTCTCTTTCTCTAACTCACAAGGCATCTGGGTGACCTGTGGGACACTCGCGTCCCTTCCATTCAGCTCCCACTTCTCAGTACCCACTGTGTTTGCCAGGTTGGCATTGGGGGCAGAGAGCATCGGCAGGACGCCTGTCCTGAGGCTCACACCCAGGGCACACGTGGTGGGGTCTGGCAGGAGCCTGGAGAGGGAGCAGAGGGGAAGCTCCTTGGGCTCAGAAGTGGAGGCAGGAGGCATGGGCGGAAACAGGCTAGGGAAGATGGAGGAGGGAGCTAGATGGGGAGTAAGGCGGGAGAAGGGCCAGGTGTTAGGACCTTGGATGGAGCCAGAGGAGCCAGCAGCCCCAGGAGGGGTTAGCAGGGAGCTGGGTTGGGAGGCCGGACAGGCCCAGGTGAGGGCAGTGGGGCTGCAGCAGGGGCAGTGAAGTCCCTAACAGTTGAGTTTTTATTTTCGCCATAGGCACGGGCCTTCACTGCCATCACATGATTGTGCGCGGGCACCTGAGGGGCTGTGGGTGGCTTGAGAAGTCAGGGCCCGAGGCATCACCCAGAAGAAGAGCCTTCTAGACACCTCCCATGGGGGCTTCCCAGAGGAGCCAGGGCTGTGGGGGGCACGGGACCCCCCTTGCTCGGCCCAGACCTCTGTGCTTGTAGTTGTGCAGCCCGTCGGGGGCTGTGTCCGGTTCCTGCCTCTGCCTTCCACTCTGTCCACCAGGCAGCCCTCACACACCCTCTGCACAGGGACCCTGAATGCCACATGCATCGCAGCCCCGCCCCAGGCCTTCACCCGTGCAGGGCGCTCTCCCTCTTCCTCTCTCTCCCGGTTCCTGATGGGACTCAACCCTCAGACTGTTGCCCCTCCCCCAGGACTGCTCCTCAACATGCCCTGGGCCCTGGTGGTGTCAGAGCCACTGCTCAGCCCCCTGTACACACGTGGAGGCCACAGATGTCCCTGGCCCCCCTGCATCGACATGCCTAGCTTGTCCCGGGCTGAGCCGCCACGATGGTGTGGACCCGGACCTGACCTTCAAGGCACCTTCTCCGGACTTGACTGTCCCTTGGCCTCCTGCCACCTGGGATCCCCTTTTGGAGCACCCTGCAGGTTCCCGAGGCAGCCTGGCCTCATGTCCCGTCCCACCCAGCAATTCCAGCCCCTCCACACCACACCTCCTCCCAGAAGCCCCAGTGCCCTGCCAGCCTCGTGGGTGCCCACAGGGAGCCCCGAGGAGAGCCCTCCTGGGCAGGGCAGGGCAGTTCACACAGGCTGCAGTGAGTTGACAAGTAGTGACATCCTTGACAGGTAACCTGGGCTAGAGCTGTTCTCCAGCACTCACTGAATTATCTGACAGCCAGGGGCACAGACACACAGGGGACCCCCACCTCCGGGAAGCTGGGACCAAGGCCTGCTGACACCGAGGTAGCTGCCACAGGTGTCCACCAGCCTCCCGGTCACCAGTCCATGTGAACGGCCAACTGAACACAGCCTGGACACAGTGCTGTGCTCTCCAGGAGCCTGGGCCTCAGAACCATGACTCACCGAGAGCAAACAGCCAGTTGCTCCAGGAGAGGGGTAACGAAGGCTGGATCTGTTTATTTTCCTATCTGCAAACAGCCTGGAAGGGCCAACTGGCGAAATGCAGCTGGAAGACGGTCTTGACCACCAGGCAGTCACGTCACCCGGCCAGAAGCAATTGCTTCCCTAAAGTCTTCTTGGGGCCCAAGTGCACCCCCCCCAACCCCTGTGCTGTGAGCTTCACCCATTCCTGGGCCACTGGGGACAGCTGGAAACATCAGAGACGTTTCTGTTGTCACAACTGGGGAGGTGCCATCATCTGGTGGGCAGAGGTGAAGGGTGCAGCTACACACTCCACAGTGCACAGGGCAGCCCCCCACAACAGAGGCCCTGGCATCCTGCCTGCCTGTCACCCCCAGCCCAGGAGCCCTCAGCACCAGGCTCTGTGCCCCTGGCTCCCCGCCTGCCCCAGAAAACAGGCACCACGATGGGGTTTTTACTAATTTTATTTCTAGACTTTTCATGTTTGTCTTGTTTTCCGCTGGAAATGTGCTGGTTACATGTCCATGCTGGGAAACGCCGCCGTGTGCAACCAAAACCACACACAGACCAAGTGCCCACCTGCCAGACCCTCACAGATTTGATGGCCACAGGACAGACTCCACGGTGCTCCCGACCCGCCACTGGGACAGACCTAGGACGGGCCGTCCTCAAGGACCCGGTTTGGTTCAGACACAGATGCTGCAGCCAGAAGAGTTGAGGTAAGCGGAAGCTGGGGTCCTGCGGAGCGGGGCCTCGGAGCACCCGGCCATCCCTTTGGGCAGGGCCACCAAGGGTGCAGATTCTTTTGGTTCGGCAGCATGCTAGGCAGCTCGGGCACACAGCACCACGGGCTGGCTCCCGCGAGATCTGCAGCCTCTGTAGTTAGCATCATGCGGCCCTGAACAGAACAGAGAGCACTGGGACATGACAGCTTCCACAGCCCGGAAACAGCGACTCCAGAGGCTGGGACCAGTCCAGGGCACAGCACCACCACGGCACACAAGACATACTTGTTACAATAATAATAATAATGCAAGTTTCATAGCTATATGCAAACAACACAGCCG